TATACATTTAGATTTTTCACATTTTAAAGTCACTCAGTGATGAGTTATCATTTAATTTTTCAAACTAATTTGAACTGATTCAAACTGATTCAAACCTTTCTAATACTTAAAAAATTAAACTTATGGCACTTCTCACCTTCCTGCCTTTTAAGGCAATTTCCTTCTTCATTCAAACTTTGTGCAATTTTAGACATTTTTCTAGCCTCTTTCAGCATGAATAAAATTTCTTTTTATAGAGCATATTCATACTATTTGTCCTTCAACCAATTAATCAATTATCCAACTTACATTTCTTTCACACCCCTTCAACAGCTTTAACATTTATACATTTCTCCATGTTTTATTAGCAGTTTAGCATTGCTTTTTCAGCTTTCAGCACTCAGCATTTCCACGCATTTTCTGCAAGGAAATGCAATTTTTCTAGTATTATACTTAACACTCTCCCCATACGTTTCTTTGGACCGCTTCTCCTCCTTCAAACTTTGTCCGATTTCAACCGTTCAAACTTTAAACTATTACACTCCATCAGGACATGATGGCTATTACTTTTTCTTTTCTACCCTTTATACTTTTTATTATTTTTCACTTTTTGTTTCAAAATTTTTTCCCATAGAAATGAATGGGGAAATCTTCCAATTCTTCTTTTTCTTCTTCCACCTTCTAAGCCTTATAACTTCAGCATACTTTCACCTAGATGTCTCATTTTTGCTTTAAAATGTTCAATGTCTTGTCGACTATTGATGTTGTATTAACTTTTTTGTGCTATCTTCTACAGTTTTCCCCCAATTTAGCTTGAAGCACCTCGTGGTTTTCAGCAAATTTTCAGGCTTTATAATGGGGGTGTATTGGAGAGGCTAGAGTGATGATTTGAAAAGCTAGAGTGCAGACCTCGTCTCTGATCGACAGAACCTCGCTCAAATATATCGCTCCCACGCCCACAAATCTCACTCCACAGCCATAAAAAATACATCAAAATGGAGGTATATGTGTCCTGCTTCTCACAAAAGAGGTTTCAAATCATTAAATCCTACCCCTTGGCCAGCAGGTGACCAACTGTCCAAATAGGCGCAAATCTCTCCCCATTGGCCCTAATGTATTTTTTCTCCAAGAAAATCCTTATCGTCACTCAGGCTCAGACTTTTTTAACTCGCTGTTGTGGCCACATTTTTCGGAGTACAGACATGAAAAACAGATCATTGTGTTCATGAAGGATGGAGGAGTCGTACGATGTTCTTATTTTCATTCTGGGATTTAAGGAAATCGTGCTATGTGAAGAAGTTCAGAACCCTAAATTCACTGCAGTTCGGCAGCTTCTCCATTCAAACAATAGGTTAGTTAATGCTTTGATCTCACAGCTGTTTAGGATGCAATCATTAACGAGACACACACACACACACACACACACACACACACACACACACACACACACACACACACACACAGATTCTTGTACTTTTTGCTGTCAGGTCTACCTTGCAGTTCAGCTGCTTGTATACACAGTTAATATGTGTCTGCTTCACCACCTATCTCCACCCACAAACTTTGATCTACAGAAACCATTCTGGGCTTCAAAAATTCAGCTCATTGAAGATATTATGGGGTGTTTTGAGGATTGTGATAATAAATTGTATTAATGTGTGCAGCAGAGTCTTGTGTTCTCACAAGCTCCTTATCAGGAATAGATACAGAGGATGAGCGTCAGGGCCTACTTGGAGTCCTGTTTCCTTAGCTTCAAGCCTTCTTTCTCCTGCTATAGTTATGCATCCAAGGTCCCCATGGCAACCAATTAGTGCACCTGGAGACACACAGCTGACTGGAAAGCTGCTTCTAATGGCCATATGAGACACATGAAGCCAGGCTCAGCACACATAGCACTGGGGATGACACTTAAAACCCTTTACTACAGCGCTTGAAAAAACTTCAGCCCCTATCTCCTCACATGACCTTTGACCTACAGAAACCATTCAGGGCTTTAAAATTTAAGCTCATTGAGGACATTATAGGGTGTATTTAGGATTTATATACATTTAGATTTTTCACATTTTAAAGTCACTCAGTGATGATTTATCATTTAATTTTTCAAACTAATTTGAACTGATTCAAACTGATTCAAACCTTTCTAATACTTAAAATTAAACTTATGCCACTTCCCACCTTCCTGCCTTTTAAGGCAATTTCCTTCTTCATTCAAACTTTGTGCAATTTTAGACATTTTTCTAGCCTCTTTCAGCATGAATAAAATTTCCTTTTATAGAGCATATTCATACTGTTTGTCCTTCAACCAATTAATCAATTATCCAACTTACATTTCTTTTTCACACCCCTTCAACAGCTTTAACATTTATACCTTTCTCCATGTTTTATTAGCAGTTTAGCATTGCTTTTTCAGCTTTCAGCACTCAGCATTTCCACGCATTTTCTGCAAGGAAATGCAATTTTTCTAGTATTATACTTAACACTCTCCCCATACGTTTCTTTGGACCGCTTCTCCTCCTTCAAACTATGTCCGATTTCAACCGTTCAAACTTTAAAAGATTCCACTCCTTCAGGACATGATGGCTATTACTTTTCTTTTTTCTACCCTTTATACTTTTTATTATTTTTCACTTTTTGTGCCAAACTTTTTTTCCCATAGAAATGAATGGGGAAATCTTTCAATTCTTCCTGTTATTCCTCCACCTTCTAAGCCTTATAACTTCAGCATACTTTCACCTAGAGACCTCATTTTTGCTTTAAAATGTTCATTGTCTTGTCGACTATTGATGTTGTATTAACCTTTTTGTGCTATCTTTTACAGTTTTTCCACAATTTAGCTTTATGCAACTTGTGGTTTTCAGCAAATTTCAGGCTTTATAATAAGGGTGTATTGGAGAGGCTAGAGTGATGATTTGAAAAGCTAGAGTGCAGACCTCGTCTCTGATCGACAGAACCTCGCTCGAATATATCGCTCCCACGCCCACAAATCTCACTCCACAGCCACAAAAAATACATCAAAATGGAGGTATATGTGTCCTGCTTCTCACAAAAGAGGTTTCAAATCATTAAATCTTACCCCTTGGCCAGCAGGTGTACAACTGTCCAAATAGGCGGAAATCTCTCCCCATTGGCTCTAATGTATTTTTTCTCCAAGAAAATCCTTATCGCCACTCAGGCTCAGACTTTTTTAATTCGCTGTTGTGGCGACATTTTTCGGAGTACAGACATGAAAAACACATCATTGTGTTCATGAAGGGCGGAGGTTTTTTACGATGTTCTTATTTTCATTCTGGGACTTAAGGAAATCGTGCTATGTGAAGAAGTTCAGAACCCTAAATTCACTGCAGTTCAGCAGCTTCTCCATTCAAACAATAGGTCAGTTCATGGCTTTGATCTTACAGCTGTTTAGGATGCAATCATTAACGAGACACACACACACACACGCACACACATTCTTGTACTTGTTGCTTTTTGAGGTCTACCTTTCAGTTCAGCTGCTTGTACACACATTTAATATGTGTCTGCTTCACCACCTATCTCCACCCACAAACTTTGAGCTACAGAAACCATTCTGGGCTTCAAAAATTCAGCTCATTGAAGATATTATGGGGTGTTTTGAGGATTGTGATAATAAATTGTATTAATGTGTTCAGCAGAGTCTTGTGTTCTCACAAGCTCCTTATGAATATATACAGAGGGTGAGCGTCAGGGCCTACTTGGACTCCTGTTTCTTTAGCTTCAAGCCTTCTTTCTCCTGCTATAGTTATGCATCCAAGGTCCCCATGGCAACCAACTTGTGCACCTGGAGACACACAGCTGACTGGAAAGCTGCTTCTAATGGCCATATGAGACACATGAAGCCAGGCTCAGTACACATAGCACTGGGGATGACACTTAAAACCCTTTCCTAGAGCGTTGGAAAAAACTTCAGCCCCTATCTCCTCACATGACCTTTGACCTACAGAAACCATTCAGGGCTTTAAAATTTAAGCTCATTGAGGACATTATTGGGTGTATTTAGGATTGTTATTCATTTAAATTTTTCACATTTTAAAAGTCACTCAGTGATGATTTATCATTTAATTTTTCAAACTAATTTAAACTCATTCAAACTGATTCAAACCTTTCTAATACTTCAAAACTTTCTGATACTTGAGGACTTTTGATAATTTAAATTTTCCCTGTTTTAAATTAGTTTTAATATTTATGCATTACTCCATCATTCAAACAAAATCCTACCTCAAGTACGACAACTACTGCTAATGTCAATTAAACTAGAACTTTCCCCTCTACTTCAACTGCTATTGCTCCTATTTCTACTTTCTTTACTACTTTGACTTATACTTCTTTTATTCTCAATGTACTTCTACTGCTGACATGACTACTAGTATCACGACTTGACTTCTTATCATACTACTTCTAGTACTACAATTTAAACTTATGCCACTTCTCACCTTCCTGCCTTTTAAGGCAATTTCCTTCTTCATTCAAACTTTGTGCAATTTTCGACATTTTTCTAGCCTCTTTCAGCATGAATAAAATTTCCTTTTATAGAGCATATTCATACTATTTGTCCTTCAACCAATTAATCAATTATCCAACTTATATTTCTGTTCACCCCTTCAACAGCTTTAACATTTATACCTTTCTCCATGTTTTATTAGCAGTTTAGCATTGCTTTTTCAGCTTTCAGCACTCAGCATTTCCACGCATTTTCTGCAAGGAAATGCAATTTTTCTAGTATTATACTTAACACTCTCCCCATACGTTTCTTTGGACCGCTTCTCCTCCTTCAAACTTTGTCCGATTTCAACCGTTCAAACTTTAAACTATTCCACTCCATCAGGACATGTGTGCTTGTATTTTTTTCCTTTCTGTCCTTTGTACTTTTTGTTTTTTTTTAACTTTTTGTGCCAAACTTTTTTTCCCATAGAAATGAATGGGGAAATGTTCCAATTCTTCCTGTTATTCGTCCACTTTCTATGGCTTATAACTTCAGCATACTTTCACCTAGAGACCTAATTTTTGCTTTAAAATGTTCATTGTCTTGTCGACTATTGATGTTGTATTAACTTTTTTTTGCTATCTTTTACAGTTTTTCCACAATTTAGCTTTATGCAACTTATGGTTTTCAGCAAATTTCAGGCTTTATAATGGGGGTGTATTGGAGAGGCTAGAGTGATGATTTGAAAAGCTAGAGTGCAGACCTCGTCTCTGATCGACAGAACCTCGCTCGAATATATCGCTCCCACGCCCACAAATCTCACTCCACAGCCATAAAAAATACATCAAAATGGAGGTATATGTGTCCTGCTTCTCACAAAAGAGGTTTCAAATCATTAAATCCTACCCCTTGGCCAGCAGGTGACCAACTGTCCAAATAGGCGCAAATCTCTCCCCATTGGCCCTAATGTATTTTTTCTCCAAGAAAATCCTTATCGTCACTCAGGCTCAGACTTTTTTAACTCGCTGTTGTGGCCACATTTTTCGGAGTACAGACATGAAAAACAGATCATTGTGTTCATAAAGGATGGAGGATTCGTACGATGTTCTTATTTTCATTCTGGGATTTAAGGAAATCGTGCTATGTGAAGAAGTTCAGAACCCTAAATTCACTGCAGTTCGGCAGCTTCTCCATTCAAACAATAGGTTAGTTAATGCTTTGATCTCACAGCTGTTTAGGATGCAGTCATTAACACACACACACACACACACACACACACACACACACACACACACACACACACACACACACACACATTCTTGTACTATTTGCATTGTCAGGTCTACCTGGCAGTTCACCTGCTTGTACACACAGGTAATATGTGTCTGCTTCATCACCTATCTCCACCCACAAACTTTGAGCTACAGAAACCATTCTGGGCTTGAAAAATTCAGCTCATTGAAGATATTATGGGGTGTTTTGAGGATTGTGATAATAAATTGTATTAATGTGTTCAGCAAAATCTTGTGTTCTCACAAGCTCCTTATGAATTTATACAGAGGATGAGCGTCAGGGCCTACTTGGAGTCCTGTTTCCTTAGCTTCAAGCCTTCTTTCTCCTGCTATAGTTATTCATCCAAGGTCCCCATGGCAACCAATTTGTGCACCTGGAGACACACAGCTGACTGGAAAGCTGCTTCTAATGGCCATATGAGACAAATGAAGCCAGGCTCAGAACACATAGCACTTGGGGTGACACTTAAAACCCTTTACTAGAGTGCTTGAAAAAACCTAAGCCCCTATCTCCTCACATGACCTTTGACCTACAGAAACCATTCAGGGCTTTAAAATGAAAGCTCATTGAGGACATTATGGGGTGTATTTAGGATTTTTATTCATTTAGATTTTTCACATTTTAAAGTCACTCAGTGATGATTTATCATTTAATTTTTCAAACTAATTTGAACTGATTCAAACTGATTCAAACCTTTCTTATACTTAAAAACTTAAACTTATGCCACTTCTCACCTTCCTGCCTTTTAAGGCAATTTCCTTCTTCATTCAAACTTTGTGCAATTTTAGACATTTTTCTAGCCTCTTTCAGCATGAATAGAATTTTCTTTTATAGAGCATATTCATACTATTTGTCCTTCAACCAATTAATCAATTATCCAACTTACATTTCTTTCTCACCCCTTCAACAGCTTTAACATTGATACCTTTCTCCATGTTTTATTAGCAGTTTAGCATTGCTTTTTCAGCTTTCAGCACTCAGCATTTCCACGCATTTTCTGCAAGGAAATGCAATTTTTCTAGTTATTATTATTCTTCCGTCCCTTTTTTGGACCGCTTCTCCTCCTTCAAACTTTGTCCGATTTCAACCATTCAAACTTTAAACTATTCCACTCCTTCAGGACATTATTGCGTGTATTTTTTTTCTTTCTACCCTTTATACTTTTTGTTTTTTTTAACTTTTTGTGCAAAAATTTTAACATTGAAGTCAATGGGGAAATCTTCAACTTCTTCCTTTCATTCTTCCACCTTCTAGACCTTATAACTTCAGCATACTTTCACCTAGAGACCTCATTTTTGCTTTAAAATGTTCATTCACTTGTCGACTATTATAGTTGTACTCAGTTTTTTGATATCTTTTACAGTTCTTCCACAATTTAGCTTTATGCAACTTGTGGTTTTCAGCAAATTTCAAGCTTTATAATGGGTGTGTATTGGAGAGTTTAGAGTGATGATGTCATCAGCTAGAGTGCAGACCTCGTCTCTGATCGACAGAACCTCGCTCGAATATATCGCTCCCACGCCCACAAATCTCACTCCACTGACACAAATAATACATCAAAATGGAGGTATATGTGTCCTGCTTCTCACAAAAGAGGTTTCAAATCATTAAATCGTACCCCTTGGCCAGCAGGTGACCAACTGTCCAGATAGGCGCAAATATCTCCCCATTGGCCCTAATGTATTTCTTCTCCAAGAAAATCCTTATCGTCACTCAGGCTCAGACTTTTTTAACTCGCTGTTGTGGCCACATTTTTCGGAGTACAGACATGAAAAACACATCATTGTGTTCATGAAGGACGGAGGATTCGTACGATGTTCTTATTTTCATTCTGTGACTTAAGGAAATCACGCTATGTGAAGAAGTTCACAGGCTTCTAATCCTCTGCTGTTCAGCTGCTTGTCATTCAAACAGTAGGTCAGTGATTTGCCTTTGATCTCACAGCTGTTAGGGATGCAGTCATTAATGAGACACACACACACACACACATTCTTGTACTTGTTGCTTTGTCAGGTCTACCTTGCAGTTCACCTGCTTGTACACACAGATAATATGTGTCTGCTTCACCACCTATCTCCACCCACAAACTTTGAGCTACAGAAACCATTCTGAGCTTGAAAAATTCAGCTCATTGAAGATATTATGGGGTGTTTTGAGGATTGTGATAATAAATTGTATTAATGTGTTCAGCAAAATCTTGTGTTCTCACAAGCTCCTTATGAATTTATACAGAGGATGAGCGTCAGGGCCTACTTGGAGTCCTGTTTCCTTAGCTTCAAGCCTTCTTTCTCCTGCTATAGTTATTCATCCAAGGTCCCCATGGCAACCAATTTGTGCACCTGGAGACACACAGCTGACTGGAAAGCTGCTTCTAATGGCCATATGAGACACATGAAGCCAGGCTCAGTACACATAGCACTGGGGATGACACTTAAAACCCTTTCCTAGAGCGCTTGAAAAACCTTCAGCCCCTATCTCCTCACATGACCTTTGACCTACAGAAACCATTCAGGGCTTTAAAATTTAAGCTCATTGAGGACATTATGGGGTGTATTTAGGATTTATATTCATTTAAATGTTTCACATTTTAAAGTCACTCAGTGATAATTTATCATTTAATTTTTCAAACTAATTTAAACTCATTCAAAATGATTCAAACCTTTCTAATACTTAAAAACTGTCTGATACTTGAGGATTTTTAATTAATAAAATTTTCCCTGTTTTATATTAGTTTTAATATTTATGCATTATTCCGTCCTTCAAACAAAATCCTACCTCTAGTACTACAACTACTTATGTCAATTAAACTAGAACTTTCCCCTCTACTTCAACTGCTATTGCTCCTATTTCTACTTTCTCTACTGCTGCTATTGCTACTATTTCTACTTTCTTTACTACTTTGACTTATACTTCTTTTATTCTCAATCTACTTCTACTGCTGACATGACTACTAGTATCACGACTTGACTTCTTATCATACTTCTTCTAGTACTACAACTTAAACTTATGCCACTTCTCACCTTCCTGCCTTTAAAGGCAGTTTCCTTCTTCATTCAAACTTTGTGCAATTTTAGACATTTTTCTAGCCTCTTTCAGCATGAATAAAATTTCCTTTTATAGAGCATATTCATACTATTTGTCCTTCAACCAATTAAACTATTATCCAACTTATATTTCTTTTTCACCCCTTCAACAGCTTTAACATTTATGCCTTTCTCCATGTTTTATTAGCAGTTTAGCATTGCTTTTTCAGCTTTCAGCACTCAGCATTTCCACGCATTTTCTGCAAGGAAATGCAATTTTTCTAGTTATTATTATTTTTCTTATTATTATTCTTCCGTACCTTTTTTGGCCCTTTTCAACTCCTTACCACTTTGTGCTATTTTAACCATTCAAACTTTATACTAATGCACTCCTTCAGGACATTATTGCTATTACTTTTCACCTTTCTACCATTTATACTTTTTGCAATATTTCACTTTTTCTGCAAAATTTGTTCCATTACAAATGAATGGAGATACAGCTATAACACCTTCTCACCCTTATAACTTCTGCATACTTTCACCTACAGACCTCATTTTTGCTTTAAAATGTTCAGCAACGTGTCTGCTACAAATGTTGTATTCACTCCTTTTTGCTATTTCCTACCGTTTTTGCACAATTTCGCTTGGAGCAACATGAAGTTTTCTGCCTCTTTCAGCCTGACTCACGCCACAGCGTGTGACGTCATCACTAGATGCGGGCGGGGCCTTTTGGATTCACTAGAACAAGCGTGTTTATTTTGCTGCCGCGGCCGCAATTTTAACTCCACAGCCATAAAAAACACATCAAAATGGAGGTACACTCGTCCTGCTTCTCACAAAATCGGTCTGAAGTCATGAAATTGTACAGCTTGCCCAGGAGGTGAGTACATTCCTTAGGAGCCAGAGATTCTGCACTTGTCATGGGCTGTGTGCTTCGATCGCACACGCACATGCACACGCACGGACTCGGCTGCTCGTGCGCGCGCGGGCGCACACACACACACACACTGTTTCCATTAGTGCATTACTGTCTCTCTTTCTCTCTTACTGTCTCTCTGTCAGATTCTGCACTTGTCATGGGCTGTGTGCTTCGATCACAGACGCACATGCACACGCACGGGCTCGGCCGCGCGCGCGCGCGGGCACACACGCACACACACACACACACACACACTCACACACTGTTTCCATGTGTGCATTACTGTCTCGCTGTCAGTAGAAAATACAGCCCCAATATGAACTTTGTTGTTACAATTCTTGTCTTCAACTCTTTTAACATACTAACTTCTTCTTTTTCTTCTACTTCTGCTTTTCTTTTCTATACTTTCTACATTTATACAATTAATTTAACTTCAGCTGTTTCATACTTTCTACATTCAGATGTAGGGCAGTAACTGAAGCAGGGCAATAGATGGTGCTGTTCTGCATTCTCAAGTTACTATGGTTGGATGCTGCAGACTGCAAAAATCTGTTTTACTATTTGTACATTTAATAGGAACATTGTTACACATTGTTTAAAGGCATTTGTTTTTCAAATTCAATTATCCATATCACTTCTGTTTATTCACATCAATCATATACATTTTTCACTTAGGCTATCAGACAATTTGTACATTAATCCAACTAATTTACCTCCAGCTATACTACAATTCTTCCATTCATACAATTTCTTCTTCTTCTACTCCACCTTTTCAACAGTTTTTCCGTTTATACCTTCCTCCATTTTTTATTGGCAGTTTTGCATTGCTTTTTCAGCTTTCAGCACTCAGCATTTCCACGCATTTTCTGCAAGGAAATGCAATTTTTCTAGTTATTAAGTGGAAATGCTGACACAGCATTTCCACTTATTGTTATTCTACTATTTCTTTATTAAGTGGAAATGCTGACACAGCATTTCCACTTATTGTTATTCTACTATTTCTTTATTATTATTATTTTTTTTCTTATTATTATTCTTCCGTACCTTTTTTGGCCCTTTTCAACTCCTTACCACTTTGTGCTATTTGAACCATTCAAACTTTATACTAATGCACTCCTTCAGGACATTATTGCTATTACTTTTCACCTTTCTACCATTTATACTTTTTGCAATATTTCACTTTTTCTGCAAAATTTGTTCCATTACAAATGAATGGAGATACAGCTATAACACCTTCTCACCCTTATAACTTCTGCATACTTTCACCTACAGACCTCATTTTTGCTTTAAAATGTTCAGCAACGTGTCTGCTACAAACGTTGTATTCACTCCTTTTTGCTATTTCCTACTGTTTTTGCACAATTTCGCTTGGAGCAACATGAAGTTTTCTGCCTTTTTCAGCCTGACTCACGCTACAGCGTGTGACGTCATCACTAGATGCGGGCGGAGCCTTTTGGATTCACTAGACCAAGCATGATTATTCTGCTGCCACGGCCGAAATTTTCACTCCACAGCCATAAAAAACACATCAAAATGGAGGTACACTCGTCCTGCTTCTCACAAAATAGATCTGAAGTCATGAAATTGTACAGTTTGCCCAGGAGGTGAGTACATTCCTTCAGAGCCAGAGATTCTGCACTTGTCATGGGCTGTGTGCTTCGATCACACACGCACGGGCTCGGCCGCTCGTGCGCGCGGGCACACACACGCACATGCGCGCGCGCACACACACACACACACACACACACACTGTTTCCATGTGTGCATTACTGTCTCTCTGTCAGTAGAAAATACACCCCCAATATTAACTTTGTTGTTACAGTTATTGTCTTTAACTCTTTTAACATACTAACTTCTTCTTTTTCTTCTACTTTTGCTTTTCTTTTCTATACTTTCTACATTTATACAATTAATTTAACTTCAGCTGTTTCATACTTTCTACATTCAGATGTAGGGCAGTAACTGAAGCAGGGCAATAGATGGTGCTGTTCTGCATTCTCAAGTTACTATGGTTGGATGCTGCATACTGCAATTCATTCACTGCATGCATTCATACCTTCCTCCATTTTTTATTGACAGTTTTGCATTGCTTTTTCAGTTTTCAGCACTCAGCATTTCCACGCATTTTCTGCAAGGAAATGCAATTTTTCTAGTTATTATTTTTTTTCTTATTATTATTCTTCCGTACCTTTTTTGGCCCTTTTCAACTCCTTACCACTTTGTGCTATTTTAACCATTCAAACTTTATACTAATGCACTCCTTCAGGACATTATTGCTATTACTTTTCACCTTTCTACCATTTATACTTTTTGCAATATTTCACTTTTTCTGCAAAATTTGTTCCATTACAAATGAATGGAGATACAGCTATAACACCTTCTCACCCTTATAACTTCTGCATACTTTCACCTACAGACCTCATTTTTGCTTTAAAATGTTCAGCAACGTGTCTGCTACAAATGTTGTATTCACTCCTTTTTGCTATTTCCTACCGTTTTTGCACAATTTCGCTTGGAGCAACATGAAGTTTTCTGCCTTTTTCAGCCTGACTCACGCTACAGCGTGTGACGTCATAACTAGATGCGGGCGGGGCCTTTTGGATTCACTAGACCAAGCATGATTATTTTGCTGCTGCGGCCGCAATTTTCACTCCACAGCCATAAAAAACACATCAAAATGGAGGTACACTCGTCCTGCTTCTCACAAAATCGGTCTGAAGTCATGAAATTGTACAGCTTGCCCAGGAGGTGAGTACATTCCTTCAGAGCCAGAGATTCTGCACTTGTCATGGGCTGTGTGCTTCGATCGCACACGCACATGCACACGCACGGACTCGGCCGCTCGTGCGCGCGCGGGCACACACACACGCACACACACACACACACACACACACACACACACACACACACACACACTGTTTCCATGAGTGTATTACTGTCTCTCTTACTATCTCTCTGTCAGATTCTGCACTTGTCATGGGCTGTGTGCTTCGATCGCACACGCACGGACTTGGCCGCTCGTGCGCGCGCGGGCACACACACATACACACACACTGTTTCCATGAGTGCATTAATGTCTCTCTTTCTTACTGTCTCTCTGTCAGATTCTGCACTTGTCATGGGCTGTGTGCTTCGATCACACACGCATATGCACACGCACGGGCTCGGCCGCGCGCGCGCGCGCACACACACACACACACACACACACACACACACACACACACACACACACACACACACACACACACTGTTTCCATGTGTGCATTACTGTCTCTCTGTCAGTAGAAAATACAGCCCCAATATGAACTTTGTTGTTACAGTTCTTGTCTTTAACTCTTTTAACATACTAACTTCTTCTTTTTCTTCTACTTCTGCTTTTCTTTTCTATACTTTCTACATTTATACAATTAATTTAACTTCAGCTGTTTCATACTTTCTGCATTCAGATGTAGGGCAGTAACTGAAGCAGGGCAATAGATGGTGCTGTTCTGCATTCTCAAGTTACTATGGTTGGATGCTGCAGACTGCAAAAATCTGTTTTACTATTTGTACATTTAATAGGAACATTGTTACACATTGTTTAAAGGCATTTCTTTTTCAAATTCAATTATCCATATCAGTTCTGTTTATTCACATCAATCATATACATTTTTCACTTAGGCTATCAGACAATTTGTACATTAATCCAACTAATTTACCTCCAGCTATACTACAATTCTTCCATTCATACAATTTCTTCTTCTTCTACTCCACCTTTTCTACAGTTTTTCCGTTTATACCTTCCTCCATTTTTTATTGGCAGTTTTGCATTGCTTTTTCAGCTTTCAGCACTCAGCATTTCCACGCATTTTCTGCAAGGAAATGCAATTTTTCTAGTTATATTTATTATTCTTCCGTACCTTTTTGGCCCTTTTCAACTCCTTACCACTTTGTGCTATTTTAACCATTCAAACTTTATACTAATGCACTCCTTCAGGACATTATTGCTATTACTTTTCACCTTTCTACCATTTATACTTTTTGCAATATTTCACTTTTTCTGCAAAATTTGTTCCATTACAAATGAATGGAGATACAGCTATAACACCTTCTCACCCTTATAACTTCTGCATACTTTCACCTACAGACCTCATTTTTGCTTTAAAATGTTCAGCAACGTGTCTGCTACAAATGTTGTATTCACTCCTTTTTGCTATTTCCTACCGTTTTTGCACAATTTCGCTTGGAGCAACATGAAGTTTTCTGCCTTTTTCAGCCTGACTCACGCTACAGCGTGTGACGTCATCACTAGATGCGGGCGGGGCCTCTTGGATTCACTAGACCAAGCGTGTTTATTTTGCTGCCGCGGCCGCAAGTTTCACTCCACAGCCATAAAAAACACATCAAAATGGAGGTACACTCGTCCTGCTTCTCACAAAATCGGTCTGAAGTCATGAAATTGTACAGCTTGCCCAGGAGGTGAGTACATTCCTTAGGAGCCAGAGATTCTGCACTTGTCATGGGCTGTGTGCTTCGATCGCACACGCACGGACTTGGCCGCTCGTGCGCGCGCGGGCACACACACACACACACACTGTTTCCATGAGTGCATTACTGTCTCTCTTTCTCTCTTACTGTCTCTCTGTCAGATTCTGCACTTGTCATGGGCTGTGTGCTTCGATCACACACGCACATGCACACGCACGGGCTCGGCCGCGCGCGCGCGCGGGCACACACACACACACACTGTTTCCATGTGTGCATTACTGTCTCTCTGTCAGTAGAAAATACAGCCCCAATATGAACTTTGTTGTTACAGTTCTTGTCTTTAACTCTTTTAACATACTAACTTCTTCTTTTTCTTCTACTTCTGCTTTTCTTTTCCATACATTCTACATTTATACAATTAATTTAACTTCAGCTGTTTCATACTTTCTACATTCAGATGTAGGGCAGTAACTGAAGCAGGGCAATAGATGGTGCTGTTCTGCATTCTCAAGTTACTATGGTTGGATGCTGCAGACTGCAAAAATCTGTTTTACTATTTGTACATTTAATAGGAACATTGTTACACATTGTTTAAAGGCATTTGTTTTTCAAATTCAATTATCCATATCAGTTCTGTTTATTCACATCAATCATATACATTTTTCACTTAGGCTATCAGACAATTTGTACATTAATCCAACTAATTTACCTCCAGCTATACTACAATTCTTCCATTCATACAATTTCTTCTTCTTCTACTCCACCTTTTCTACAGTTTTTCCGTTTATACCTTCCTCCATTTTTTATTGGCAGTTTTGCATTGCTTTTTCAGCTTTCAGCACTCAGCATTTCCACGCATTTTCTGCAAGGAAATGCAATTTTTCTAGTTAAGTGGAAATGCTGACACAGCATTTCCACTTATTGTTATTCTACTATTTCTTTATTATTATTATTATTTTTATTATTATTCTTCCGTACCTTTTTTGGCCCTTTTCAACTCCTTACCACTTTGTGCTATTTTTACCATTCAAACTTTATACTAATGCACTCCTTCAGGACATTATTGCTAGTACTTTTCACCTTTCTACCATTTATACTTTTTGCAATATTTCACTTTTTCTGCAAAATTTGTTCCATTACAAATGAATGGAGATAAAGCTATAACACCTTCTCACCCTTATAACTTCTGCATACTTTCACCTACAGACCTCATTTTTGCTTTAAAATGTTCAGCAACGTGTCTGCTACAAATGTTGTATTCACTCCTTTTTGCTATTTCCTACCGTTTTTGCACAATTTCGCTTGGAGCAACATGAATTTTTCTGCCTTTTTCAGCCTGACTCACGCTACAGCGTGTGACGTCATCACTAGATGCGGGCGGAGCCTTTTGGATTCACTAGACCAAGCATGATTATTTTGCTGCCACGGCCGCAATTTTCACTCCACAGCGATAAAAAACACATCAAAATGGAGGTACACTCGTCCTGCTTCTCACAAAATAGGTCTGAAGTCATCAAATTGTACAGTTTGCCCAAGAGGTGAATACATTCGTTCAGAGCCAGAGATTCTGCACTTGTCATGGGCTGTGTGCTTCGATGACACACGCACGGGCTCGGCCGCTCGTGCGCGCGCACACACACACACACACACACACACACTGTTTCCATGTGTGCATTACTGTCTCTCTGTCAGTAGAAAATACACCCCCAATATTAACTTTGTTTTTACAGTTATTGTCTTTAACTCTTTTAACATACTAACTTCTTCTTTTTCTTCTACTTTTGCTTTTCTTTTCTATACTTTCTACATTTATACAATTAATTTAACTTCAGCTGTTTCATACTTTCTACATTCAGATGTAGGGCAGTAACTGAAGCAGGGCAATAGATGGTGCTGTTCTGCATTCTCAAGTTACTATGGTTGGATGCTGCAGACTGCAAAAATCTGTTTTACTATTTGTACATTTAATAGGAACATTGTTACACATTGTTTAAAGGCATTTGTTTTTCAAATTCAATTATCCATATCAGTTCTGTTTATTCACATCAATCATATACATTTTTCACTTAGGCTATCAGACAATTTGTACATTAATCCAACTAATTTACTTTCAGCTATACTACAATTCTTCCATTCATACAATTTCTTCTTCTACTCCACCTTTTCAACAGTTTTTCCATTCATACCTTCCTCCATTTTTTAATGGCAGTTTTGCATCGCTTTTTCAGCTTTCAGCATTCAGCATTTCCACGCATTTTCTGCAAGGAAATGCAATTTTTCTAGTTAAGTGGAAATGCTGACACAGCATTTCCACTTATTGTTATTCTACTATTTCTTTATTATTATTATTAATGGGAAATGCTGACACAGCATTTCCACTTATTGTTATTCTACTATTTCTTTATTATTATTAAGTGGAAATGCTGACACAGCATTTCCACTTATTGTTATTCTACTATTTCTTTATTATTATTATTTTTTTTCTTATTATTATTCTTCCGTACCTTTTTTGGCCCTTTTCAACTCCTTACCACTTTGTGCTATTTTAACCATTCAAACTTTATACTAATGCACTCCTTCAGGACATTATTGCTATTACTTTTCACCTTTGTACCATTTATACTTTTTGCAATATTTCACTTTTTCTGCAAAATTTGTTCCATTACAAATGAATGGAGATACAGCTATAACACCTTCTCACCCTTATAACTTCTGCATACTTTCACCTACAGACCTCATTTTTGCTTTAAAATGTTCAGCAACGTGTCTGCTACAAATGTTGTATTCACTCCTTTTTGCTATTTCCTACCGTTTTTGCACAATTTCGCTTGGAGCAACATGAAGTCTTCTGCCTTTTTCAGCCTGACTCACGCTACAGCGTCTGACGTCATCACTAGATGCGGGCGGGGCCTTTTGGATTCACTAGACCAAGCATGATTATTTTGCTGCTGCGGCCGCAATTTTCACTCCACAGCCATAAAAAACACATCAAAATGGAGGTACACTCGTCCTGCTTCTCACAAAATCGGTCTGAAGTCATGAAATTGTACAGCTTGCCCAGGAGGTGAGTACATTCCTTCAGAGCCAGAGATTCTGCACTTGTCATGGGCTGTGTGCTTCGATCGCACACGCACATGCACACGCACGGACTCGGCCGCTCGTGCGCGCGCGGGCACACACACACACACACACACACACACACACACACACTGTTTCCATGAGTGCATTACTGTGTCTCTTACTATCTCTCTGTCAGATTCTGCACTTGTCATGGGCTGTGTGCTTCGATCGCACACGCACGGACTTGGCCGCTCGTGCGCGCGCGGGCACACACACATACACACACACTGTTTCCATGAGTGCATTAATGTCTCTCTTTCTCTCTTACTGTCTCTGTCAGATTCTGCACTTGTCATGGGCTGTGTGCTTCGATCACACACGCATATGCACACGCACGGGCTCGGCCGCGCGCGCGCGCGGGCACACACACACACACACACACACACACACACACACACACTGTTTCCATGTGTGCATTACTGTCTCTCTGTCAGTAGAAAATACAGCCCCAATATGAACTTTGTTGTTACAGTTCTTGTCTTTAACTCTTTTAACATACTAACTTCTTCTTTTTCTTCTACTTCTGCTTTTCTTTTCTATACTTTCTACATTTATACAATTAATTTAACTTCAGCTGTTTCATACTTTCTGCATTCAGATGTAGGGCAGTAACTGAAGCAGGGCAATAGATGGTGCTGTTCTGCATTCTCAAGTTACTATGGTTGGATGCTGCAGACTGCAAAAATCTGTTTTACTATTTGTACATTTAATAGGAACATTGTTACACATTGTTTAAAGGCATTTGTTTTTCAAATTCAATTATCCATATCAGTTCTGTTTATTCACATCAATCATATACATTTTTCACTTAGGCTATCAGACAATTTGTACATTAATCCAACTAATTTACCTCCAGCTATACTACAATTCTTCCATTGATACAATTTCTTCTTCTTCTACTCCACCTTTTCTATAGTTTTTCCGTTTATACCTTCCTCCATTTTTTATTGGCAGTTTTGCATTGCTTTTTCAGCTTTCACCACTCAGCATTTCCACGCATTTTCTGCAAGGAAATGCAATTTTTCTAGTTATTATTATTTTTCTTATTATTATTCTTCCGTGCCTTTTTTGGCCCTTTTCAACTCCTTACCACTTTGTGCTATTTTAACCATTCAAACTTTATTCTAATGCACTCCTTCAGGACATTATTGCTATTACTTTTCACCTTTCTACCATTTATACTTTTTGCAATATTTCACTTTTTCTGCAAAATTTGTTCCATTACAAATGAATGGAGATACAGCTATAACACCTTCTCACCCTTATAACTTCTGCATACTTTCACCTACAGACCTCATTTTTGCTTTAAAATGTTCAGCAACGTGTCTGCTACAAATGTTGTATTCACTCCTTTTTGCTATTTCCTACCGTTTTTGCACAATTTCGCTTGGAGCAACATGAAGTCTTCTGCCTTTTTCAGCCTGACTCACGCTACAGCGTGTGACGTCATCACTAGATGCGGGCGGGGCCTCTTGGATTCACTAGACCAAGCGTGTTTATTTTGCTGCCGCGGCCGCAAGTTTCACTCCACAGCCATAAAAAACACATCAAAATGGAGGTACACTCGTCCTGCTTCTCACAAAATCGGTCTGAAGTCATGAAATTGTACAGCTTGCCCAGGAGGTGAGTACATTCCTTAGGAGCCAGAGATTCTGCACTTGTCATGGACTGTGTGCTTCGATCGCACACGCACGGACTTGGCCGCTCGTGCGCGCGCGGGCACACACACACACACACACACACTGTTTCCATGAGTGCATTACTGTCTCGTTTTCTCTCTTACTGTCTCTCTGTCAGATTCTGCACTTGTCATGGGCTGTGTGCTTCGATCACACACGCACATGCACACGCACGGGCTCGGCCGCGCGCGCGGGCACACACACACACACACACACACACTGTTTCCATGTGTGCATTACTGTCTCTCTGTCAGTAGAAAATACAGCCCCAATATGAACTTTGTTGTTACAGTTCTTGTCTTTAACTCTTTTAACATACTAACTTCTTCTTTTTCTTCTACTTCTGCTTTTCTTTTCCATACTTTCTACATTTATACAATTAATTTAACTTCAGCTGTTTCATACTTTCTACATTCAGATGTAGGGCAGTAACTGAAGCAGGGCAATAGATGGTGCTATTCTGCATTCTCAAGTTACTATGGTTGGATGCTGCAGACTGCAAAAATCTGATTTTATATTTGTACATTTAATAGGAACATTGTTACACATTGTTTAAAGGCATTTGTTTTTCAAATTCAATTATCCATATCAGTTCTGTTTATTCACATCAATCATATACATTTTTCACTTAGGCTATCAGACAATTTGTACATTAATCCAACTAATTTACCTTCAGCTATACTACAATTTTTCTATTCATACAATTTGTTCTTCTTCTACTCCACCTTTTCAACAGTTTATCCGCTCATACCTTCCTCCATTTTTATTGGCAGTTTTGCATTGCTTTTTCAGCTTTCAGCACTCAGCATTTCCACGCATTTTCTGCAAGGAAATGCAATTTTTCTAGTTTTTTATTATTATTATTCTTCCGTACCTTTTTTGGCCCTTTTCAACTCCTTCCCACTTTGTGCTATTTTCACCATTCAAACTTTATACTAATGCACTCCTTCAGGACATTATTGCTATTACTTTTCACCTTTCTACCATTTATACTTTTTGCAATATTTCACTTTTTCTGCAAAATTTGTTCCATTACAAATGAATGGAGATACAGCTATAACACCTTCTCACCCTTATAACTTCTGCATACTTTCACCTACAGACCTCATTTTTGCTTTAAAATGTTCAGCAACGTGTCTGCTACAAATGTTGTATTCACTCCTTTTTGCTATTTCCTACCGTTTTTGCACAATTTCGCTTGGAGCAACATGAAGTTTTCTGCCTTTTTCAGCCTGACTCACGCTACAGCGTGTGACGTCATCACTAGATGCGGGCGGGGCCTCTTGGATTCACTACACCAAGCGTGTTTATTTTGCTGCCGCGGCCGCAAGTTTCACTCCACAGCCATAAAAAACACATCAAAATGGAGGTTCACTCGTCCTGCTTCTCACAAAATCGGTCTGAAGTCATGAAATTGTACAGCTTGCCCAGGAGGTGAGTACATTCCTTAGGAGCCAGAGATTCTGCACTTGTCATGGGCTGTGTGCTTCGATCGCACACGCACGGACTTGGCCGCTCGTGCGCGCGCGGGCACACACACATACACACACACTGTTTCCATGAGTGCATTACTGTCTCTCTTTCTCTCTTACTGTCTCTCTGTCAGATTCTGCGCTTGTCATGGGCTGTGTGCTTCGATCACACACGCACATGCACACGCACGGGCTCGGCCGCGCGCGCGGGCACACACACACACACACTGTTTCCATGTGTGCATTACTGTCTCTCTGTCAGTAGAAAATACAGCCCCAATATGAACTTTGTTGTTACAGTTCTTGTCTTTAACTCTTTTAACATACTAACTTCTTCTTTTTCTTCTACTTCTGCTTTTCTTTTCCATACTTTCTACATTTATACAATTAATTTAACTTCAGCTGTTTCATACGTTCTACATTCAGATGTAGGGCAGTAACTGAAGCAGGGCAATAGATGGTGCTGTTCTGCATTCTCAAGTTACTATGGTTGGATGCTGCAGACTGCAAAAATCTGTTTTACTATTTGTACATTTAATAGGAACATTGTTACACATTGTTTAAAGGCATTTGTTTTTCAAATTCAATTATCCATATCAGTTCTGTTTATTCACATCAATCATATACATTTTTCACTTAGGCTATCAGACAATTTGTACATTAATCCAACTAATTTACCTCCAGCTATACTACAATTCTTCCATTCATACAATTTCTTCTTCTTCTACTCCACCTTTTCTACAGTTTTTCCGTTTATACCTTCCTTCATTTTTTATTGGCAGTTTTGCATTGCTTTTTCAGCTTTCAGCACTCAGCATTTCCACGCATTTTCTGCAAGGAAATGCAATTTTTCTAGTTGAAGCTGTTAATATCAATATTGACTATTGCTATAGAACTTCAGTTAAGGCAAAAGCTTTATACTGTGTATTTTTGGGGAATTTTACAAAACTGCTGGGGATCAGGTTTTAATGTGTGTGCTCATTTGTTGCAGTGTTGAATGGTGACGCAAGCTAAGATTGAAGTAGGGTGTGGCATTGCACTGTTTGAGTAGTGAATGTGTGAAAGACTGATAGTGCGAGCATTCTGGCTTTGATTGTGACATAGTTTGAAGTAAGGCAAAGCTTGGAAAAATGGTGCGACATAGAGAGAAAGCTCTTGACTTTGTGTCGGGTCTGTTTTTTTTTTTTGTTTCTTTTGTTTTTTTTTTCCTTTGTCTGTGGCAATGGGTGACTGTGTGTTCTGGACTAGGGATCAGACAAAGTGTAACTGGAAGTGTTAAAGTGTGAAAAGGGACAGAAAAGTAAAGTGATGTTTTTCATAGTGTGAATATTTTAACACGAAATTAAAAATTAATAATAATGATAACAATAATAATAAAAAAATTCTTTCCAAAGATAAAAAAACGTAGCAAGAAATAAAACAAATAGGTTTACAGGAACACTGCTCGTCTAATTTTTTAGAACAAAGTATTCAATAGGAATAATAAATTCTACAAAAACCATAACCAGAAAGGGAAAATTAGTTTAACTCCAATTGCATTGGTAGGGTGTAAAGATCCTGAACACTTAAATGATATCCAAAAACTTACAAAGAAATGGGGACATTGAGTCAAGGGGTTAGAATTTTTATTACCTAAAGGAGGCACATCTGATGTGACTGTGTGTGAGGATTTGGAGCAGCGAATTTAAGACCATAAACACAATAGTTGGGTCACAAAGTGAGATTCTGTGACCATCCACTGGCAAGGATGTTTTGACGATTGATTTGACCTCTATGGACCCTTTAGAAAAGATTTAGCCCCCAGGTCCCTCGCAAAAATCCCGGCATTTTTTGCTAGACAGCCAAATTCAAGATGGCGGCCGGCGCCATCTCTAAAAATTTACTTTTGATCTGGATGACCTAGAATCATGTATGAAGGCACTTTTCCATACAAGTCAAGCATGAGGATTCCAAATCTGACATAGTTTTAATCATACAACTTTGTTTTGACCGCGATATTCAAGATGGCTGCCATCTAGTACTGTAATTCTCAACCTTTTCAGGACTTGACCCCCCAAAAACAATCATATTTGAAATGGGTAACCCCTAATTTGTTTGACTCTGTTCCACATATAGATATTGTGAAAATAGCCGCTCTACAAACCCGTAACACCTTGTATTGTGAGGCGTGTGAGCTTGTAGATTGGCTATATTCACAATTTTTGCCTTTTTCTTATATCATTTGACAATTCGGCCAATGGTTTAGCATTGTTTGTTGATTACTTTGGATGCAGTGATGATCTTTTTCTTTGAGGATCTTACAAGTCCTAACATTATAATTTCACTGTCATCTGGGGGTACGCCACCAACCAATGATCAAGTACAGAGAAAACTTAACTTAACAACAACATAAAGGCCAGTGAATATTGCACTCAAACTATCCAGTATGCTTGATTCATGTCAGCAGCAGTACTTAACTCAGGCAATTTGATTGGCTGTCCCTTCATGTCAGGGATCATCTTTGGGTCGACTTAATGGTATATGTGGCTTCATTACACAGACTACCACACTGGAGAATACATCACTGTCTGTCTGTCCTGGTTGGTATATTATTTTCTTCCATATTCAAGCAGCCATGTATTCTGCATGCACACTGTCTTTACAGATCAAATGTGTAGCTCCTCTAACTGTGGGCTCAAAAGAATGACTGAGGCAACATTTAGGAAAGCAGCAGCACTAAACAAGCAGCATGTGCTAACATGCCCTGACATGAAGGGACAGGAGGGTGGAGGGTGGCGGACCCCGCACAGTTGTATTTTCGTCTGGCGGAGCCCGCCGTACAGCCAGTTTGGTATTATCATGGACATTTTCGTGCTCGCCAATGGCGTGTAAAGTGCACTGAAAGCTCGCCGATTCAAACCTGGTCAGCTTTCAGCGCAGGCGGAGCGCAGCTGGTCTAGTGGTATTTTGGTAGACCAGCGGCGTATCGGCATACATCACCGATGCCTCACCGGCAGCTTTCCACAGTGTCAGGCACATTTCAGTGCAATAAATAATCATCAATAACTATTAATCTGAGTCAGCACATACATTTAGATCTATATCGATATATTCTGATCTATATCTGATCTGATGAGCGCGTTTGGCACGCATTTGGACACACAACCTGATCGAATCAACACAGCTTAAACCGCATTAAATTAAATTAAATATCTAGTAAATAAACACACATGATGAAGTTAACAAGATATTTAATTTGTCTCCCTCCTTTTCTTTCTTCCTCTTCCTCTTATTTCTCGCGCAGCTTGACCTGGACATGTGTCTGTGTCCTCTCTCTGTCCTGCTGCAGCTGAACAGATGATTTGTTTCAGTGCTCAGATGAGTTCTTTACTTCAAGCCGACATACGGATATTATAATATTCAGTTTTGTGAGGCAAATTTATTTTATATGCCAACATCTATGAAAGAAAGAGCCAGGCCACAGAGCGCGATGCGTCATTTACGCACAGATGGTTCCAATTTTAATGCCATTTTTGGAGTTTATATTGTGATCTGTTCGCTCAACCCACCTTTGTCACGTGAGGTTTGAATATATGCAACTTTATGTGAGTGTCTTTATTAGTGGAAAAGGGTGTTTGTCTTACCAGTGGGTCCAACATTACACACACCAAATCCGTCTCTGCTCACATGAGAGAGTGTGGAGGACGCCAAATGCAGCGCTTACAGTGGCACTTGTTTAGGAGCTGCCTTCTGTCACCATCGTGTGGCATTGCTGTCTTCAGACATCTCTTGATCTCTTTGACTACTTCACAAAAATAGTAATACACCTCGCCAGTGGCGGATTTAAAGGCAAGGAGAGGAGCCTATGTGATTGGTGAAAACAGGTCTCAGCTGTGTTAAACCCACTCCATGCCCTCTCTCCTCCCTCGCTACGACTTACGCCGCTGGGAGGAGCTGAGTTAGCCCGTTGCACCCGACGGTCCCTCTCCCGGGCCGAGATTTTGCTGCATATATTTAAACGCTGTAAAAAATGTATTGAAACTTGACCGCGGTGTTTACTTTCAATTCTCAATCAAAGTTTAGACTCTAATGTTCACAGAACTGGGTCGGATGTCTGTTTTAGTGTAAACGTTACCTTTTTATGACGATTTTAATCTGTCTTGGTGTCTCTGTCTGGACATTTAAATTTTGCGACATCGACCGAATCAAAGCTTTACAGTGTAGCGGAGACAGGCTCCGTCCGGCCATGTCTGTAGTCATTTGAAAGGGGAGAACCTACTGAATCGATTGGCATCAATCTTTCCAAAGACTACATTTCCCAGCTTTGAAAAAAGCCGGGCGTAAAGTGTTCGTAATCTGTGCGCTTTTAGGTGCAGCGCCCCACAGACGAAGGCAGGATGCTGCATCGCACACTGATCAGTCGGGACTCTCCTGTAAACTTTCTCCACCACTTATAAAACTTCTCTTGAGTACTTTTCAACCAGGAAAAGAAAAGTTCAACTCTTAGAGGGATATGGCGGACATTTTATTAGAAATTCAGCGGGGCTCAGACGGTGAATTTGAGGACTCGTCTGACTCAGTAATGGCGTCGGCTCTGAGGAGGAGGCATTGTTTACATCAGAAGTGGACCCAGTTTAATAGTAAGTATTTGCATTTGTCTATAAAGACGTGTTGTGTAAATTGATATGCATGGAACACCTTTGTCATAAAACTGTAAACACTGTAGTAAGTATGGCAATCCAATAGCATCGAATATTACTGCAGTTTCACTATATCTGTTTATTTTGGGCTTACTTTGCTTGCAGATACTGCATTTTATCTGTCTTTGAATATATGCTTTATGAGAAAAATAAATGAAGTACATATAAATGCAAACAAAATATAGTAGAGCTACTCAATTTAGTGAATAAGTTTACATATATCCACAACTTTTGTGTCCATCAGTGAAATGTACAAATGTTGTTTATTTTTGTTCTGCATAGTAATTGATCACCATTTTCACAGCCACCAAGAAGAGGGGAGTGAGGCACATCCACCCCTACCCCCCATCAGGGGTTTTTCACACCTTCAGTACTCCCTGCACCAGACGCCCCACCCCCACCCTTTCCTGCAAGAAAGGTGACATTGCTTGTATCAAGGTTTGTGTACTGATCATTTGTTTGATTCTGGTCTCTAAAAGAAATAATACACTCTTTACTGCTTCAATTATGCATTTATATGTATTCATTACATTTAATTTACTCTACCTGTGTTTGCTGTATTTTATATTGTTATATATTGTTTTTAATGTACAATATTTGTTGCACTTTTACTTTTTATTTTACATTGTTTGCTCAGAATGTTTGTTTGTTTCTCTTTTTGCACTTTTTTCAAATAAAGATACTCCCTGTGAAGAAAGAAATGTAGAAGTTCCTGTTATTTTTCACTATTCTGTATTACATATAAACAAATATATTGTGCAGAATGGTAGAAATTGATGAGGCAAAAGGTAAATTTCATATCTAAACGCTCCAATAGGTAGTAGGAGACTAGTCTTATGGAAATAAATTGTAATTTGGAGCCAGTTCTCATCAGAGGTAGAAAATAATCCATTTGGCACATTTTGGCACAAAGTGTGCCAAATTGTGCCAAACTGAGTCCTCGCCTGGGTGTACCCTTACAAAAACCTTCATGTAGGCTTTACTGTTTGCTCAAATTCTATCAAATTTGGTACATTTGTGGTCAAGGAGTGGATGAAGCTAATCAATGTCATCTGGGGGCCTGGAATCATTGCCAGCATTGTGTTTTCCCCTGTCAAAAAAAGAAAACATTTTGGCGAGGGTAAAAAAACATAACTTTTCCTCTGATTCATTCCAATTTACTCAGGCATAATGACAGACAAAACACTTCTGACACTTGGAACACATTCTCTGAAGTCTCTAGATGTCCAAGGACACCAAGAACATGCATATAACCTTTAGTAAAGTGTAGTAATTCCTCATTTACTTTGGGTATGTCTTTTAGGCGTTTTTCTTTCCTTAAAATATGCTAAGGGTAGAACGGGTTAAGGAGGGGGGATACTTACGCTGGGCTGCGTCGCTCACCAAAATTCCAAATTGTGCTTGGGAACGCCTTGTCGGCGCGGCGGACCTGACTTACGCTGCGCCTGCAGCACGTCTCCAGCGAGGCACGAAATAGAGCCCCATGTGTTACGGGCTTGTAGATCGGCTATTTTCACAATATCTATATGTGGAACAGAGTCAAACAAATTAGGGGTTACCCATTTCAAATATGATTGTTTTGGGGGGGGTCAAGTCCTGAAAAGGTTGAGAATTACAGTACTAGATGGCAGCCATCTTGAATATCGCGGTCAAAACAAAGTTGTATGATTAAAACTATGTCAGATTTGGAATCCTCATGCTTGACTTGTATGGAAAAGTGCCTTCATACATGATTCTAGGTCATCCAGATCAAAAGTAAATTTTTAGAGATGGCGCCGGCCGCCATCTTGAATTTGGCTGTCTAGCAAAAAATGCCGGGATTTTTGCGAGGGACCTGGGGGCTAAATCTTTTCTAAAGGGTCCATAGAGGTCAAATCAATCGTCAAAACATCCTTGCCAGAGGATGGTCACAGAATCTCACTTTGTGACCCAACTACAAAGATAAAAGTAAAACATGCAAAAACAACAGATTTGGAACTAAAAGTACTGAACATGTTCAAAAGTGAAGGCCAACACTATTTTATGAATAAATTAAAGATTGGGTTTGCAGAGCTATAAAGCAATAAGGAGAAGGTGGAGAAAGAAAGTCACAAACATGGGAAATAGGTAAAATAGAAAAGAGATTCTGCAGCCAAATCCAGTATTAGAAAATGTAGGAAATTATCCTTCTCTGTTAGGGAGAGTTAATATAATATGTAATTTTGAATTTGCTGAGGGAGACAAAGCCCACAACAAACCTTTGCCCGATTCCCTGAAGTAATGATCATAAGTAATTGTTATGTGAATGATAATGCTGAACAATTATATCTGGCCCATAAGATCGTATCATATTTGTATTATTATTGGCCCACCAGTATGAAGTCTGCAGATTTCTTCCAGTATAATAATGTAAACTTGAGCACCTTTATTTAAAATGTCCTTAATAAACCAGGAAAATCTGGGAAATTAAAGAGTAAGGAAGATTTGATAAGTCGTCAAGAATGTGGAAAAATATATATTTGGTGTTTTATTTCATTTTTTCAGTTTTGCATTTCAAGATTACAAGTCAAACATGATTGGATTTTTATTTCTTCCTTTGATTTTGTTCAACTCAGTATTTAGATTTGTGTCATATTTATACTTTAGATTCCAATTCTAAATTTTAAGTCATATTTTGACCTTTTAAACCTGATTTCAACATTCTTCTTGTGTACTGGCTCTTTCAAGGCATTATTTTTCTCTTTTTAATATCATGCAGTGATCTTTTGAACTAATAAATAAGAATGGAATAAAAAACTAAATTTTTTCTATCTTAGGTTGCCTTTAAACTTATTATTATTTTTTTATTTATCTCTTTTGAATTTCCAAATGATTTAAAATCATTGCTATTTTTGTCCCACATGTTTTGAAAAGGAAATTGACAGTGTTGGTGAAATGTTGAGCCTCTTTGGCCCTGAGGTTAGACCTAAATCCAGGTTATGGCCCTTGCTGTGATTTAGTTGCTGTGGTTGAGTTTGACACCCCTGGCCTAGATTATGTTCACCTGAAAATGCACTGATAATATGTTTTCAATCTTAATAAAGGGCACACAGGCTAGCTATGTGCCATGGAAAACCACACACCTTGTTGGGCTGATTGCCAGACTACCACAAACTGAACAGGGGGCAGGGAGATGGATACGAGTTTTTGAGGATGAACTGTAGGGAAAATGTTGACTACACCAGACATGAAAGCACTCTTGGCTCAACTGCTGGGAACTAAGACGATGGAGGAGTTTCTGCACAAGGCAAAACAAGGTTGGATGATGAATCCCATGATAGATGGGAGTGAGTTCAATGCATATTGTGATGTGATGTGGAGGGCGCTGCAAGATGAAGTGTGGAGACTGAAAGAACAGGAAAAGAACATTCAGCGGAAGTTGATACAGCTACAGCTGGGAGAACTGCGAAGCAGAAACAAAGTACAGACTCAGGCCGCAATGGTGGCCACCTCTAAGGGGGACACTGCAAAAGAGACCCAGCGATGCAAACTGTGCAGACGCTAACTGCAGTAAAGCCTGTGACAGTAACCTGTTTAATCACCTGTTGTGAATGTTTATCCTCAGACAGAACCCTGTTCCATAGAGATGATATATCCCAGCAGGGGGAGAGAGTGGAATTCTGACAGACGTGTGACGTCTAAAGGCCTGCTGGGGATGTGATCATACCAGACATTTTTGACAACTGCCCAGACCAGGGATGCCTCTGGCTGGAGAGGTGGTGGGGGGCCCCAGCCCAGACAATGTGAAAGTGGTGGCTTACTACAGTGTGATTTTTGTGGATGATGGAAAAAGTTAATTGTTAGTTGTAATTTCAACCCTGTTGACCTTATAGACCGAAAAGCCCTATGTAGAAGTAACATTCAAATTTGGTGCTCACCGCAAGGTGTGTACGTAGACAGTTATGGTTTATAGTTTTAATTAAATATCGTGATCAAATATGCAAAGATATATTAGCTAGGTCATATTGCTAAAATAAAATATATACCAAGGTTTAAATCCCAAATGTCCAGGTGTTATTGAAAGATGTTTTTGACCTATCACATAGTAAGATGTACTGAGGATAAGATTGGATGAAAACATTATGGTGTGTCCTTGAGTCCAGTATAGCTGGACCTGAGGCTGATGTGAGACTGTTATATCGAGTAAAATATGCTCTAAAGCGAGCAGCTGAGGAGGGAAGCAGAAATTAATTGAGAGAACCGGAGTGCTAATTGAGATCTAGGGTGTAACATTCCTATTCTGTTAGTTTAATACTGATAAATCTAAATACAGCTGTGCTGAATCCGCATACACTCCTCACAGATGTGCCACCTAGTGTAAAAGTAATGGGAAGCTATCAGGGGTCAATAAGGCCACAGAAAATGTTTTAAAGTCAAATAACTATTTTGCTACCAGTAGTATTAACAAACGAACTTAAGATCTGACTTTCACAGCGATTCACACTGTGCAAGGGGGGAGACAATGAGACAATTAAAACGTGAGATTTTTAGAATATTCTGGCAATAGTTGATAAACTCTTGGGTCATTGTGATATGTGTTTTTTAGATGAATTGTAGAGACCAGTAAAACATTAGTGGGACACTTTTCCAGTTCCAGAGAGACGTTTTTAGACATCTATTTATAGACAATGTGGACATGATTAAAACTGCCAAGGAAAATGTTACATGTTTGTAATGATGATGGGTTCAGTCGATGGATAGAAGCAACACCATCAAAAGATCTTGGAGTCAAAATAAATCTTTCACTGCATGATTTGGTACATCATTTTGGGGAAGAAAGTTAATCTCTCAAGTAAATATCAGATCAGAAAATTTGCACTAACACTAACCTATAGGAAGATGCTTTGCTACTTGCGCTTATGAGCTTTCACAATCAAAAGCACTGTGACAAATCTTTCCCTGCATGAATTGCTAACTTACAAAGCTATGCTTTACTGCAACTGAACAATTAAGCTTTTCGCTTGAGCAGCTGAAAAATTAGTGAATTAAATATATGAGGCAGCTAACTATGATGCAAAGATCTATCGATTAGCAGGAGGAATGCCAAAATCTGATCCCAGTCAAGAGGTGGAGGCCAGTCGAGCCAGAGGACCAGGTGTACATCACCGTCCTTTGAGGAGGGTGGCACAAGAACGAGGAGAAGACCTGAACACTTTGGTCCTGGTGACATCTACTTCAATGCAGGAAGAGGGCAATATGATGTGGCGTCATCTACCGCTGACTGCCCATAAAAAACAAGGGAGAGAGGCTGGAGACAACAATGAGGGTGAAGGTCAAACTGGTGCCAGTACAGCTGTGAGAAGAAGTGGGAGACATTGTCATCACGGGTGAGTACAATGCAACCCAAAACACAATCCACACCACTCCAGACAGAGCTAGAACCCATGCCAACATTCACAAATTATTACAGATTTACAATTAGGTTAAGGAAAATAGATAAATAAAATTAAAAAGATTTTTTTTTTTTACAGATAATCAGAAACAAGTACATAAGAAAATGAAGAAAGAGAGCCCTACACATTGAGTAGATCTGATATATCGAAGGAAAGGTTCCAGATGAATTTATCACATAGGGAGTAAAATGAATTTTGAAAAGTCGTGTGTGGTAATAAAATAACAACTGGAGGTGGTAAATGGAGAAGAGATTTTTGCCAGATTTTTACAAATAAGAGAAGAACTGTTTTTTTAAAACCTAAAGTTAAGCAATTATGTGACAGAAATTATTGCTTGATTTGATTTGTTAATTATTCAGCGAAGATGTTTAGATTAAAGGATATTTACATGTAACAAGTCCAGTAACATGTCAATACAGACAAGCATTAAATTGGGTATTTGAAGAGAAAAGATGTGTCTTAAAGGGTTGGAAAGTACTGTTGCAGATACATTTCTAACAAAACAAGCACCTGGGGGAGGTTTTTCTAAAGCTATGGAGGGTATAGAAAGCTAAAAGTGGAAATGCGGGAGAATGCTGGTAAGGGGGGCTTGTTAATGGACTGGGTGGTCCAAATTTTAGATGAATGAGAGCTGTTTTGGCCCAGCCATGAGTGCTGCGATAGCCCTAATTCTGATTTCCTTTCTCACATGTCGCATCGTACACATCCTTTGGAGACATTGTTGGAAGCTGACGGAGGAGATGGGACTTATGGTGGACCTAACACTGGCCCATGAACTACAGGAAATGCCACCAAAACAGCTGGCACAGTGTGTGATTAATCAAGGAGGGACTGAGGGACCTGAATGGTTCCTGGACTTTGACGGAGACGAAGATGAGCAATGGACTTTGAGCAACACAAACAACATATCCAATGAGCTGAGATATTGAACTGAACATGTTTCATTTGCAGAGTTAAAGGACTACACTAATCACACATTAATCAAGGGGTTAATCACATACTAATCAAGGGGTTTGTCGCAGGTTGCTACAATGTAATGTAATGGTATTATCAGAAGTTGACTCTTTTTCTATGCAAATGAAATTATGTCAGCGCATCCAGGAAATGGATGATCGCCAGGGCTCGGGGCCGTAAGATTCTTTCCCTGCTGAAACAGCCGAGCAGGGTTTTCAGTCTTACGCGCTGATATGATTTGAAATGATCCTAGCTATGGTATGGTATGGTTTTGGTTTTTGTTTCATGTTGTATTATGAAGTCTTAGATGCAGCAAATCATACACATAGCATTTAGAATTTAGTGAACATGTTTTATTTTAATCACATAAGGATGTTTAGTGTTTGATATGATGATCAGGTTTTTATGAAAGTAAGAACTTTCAAAGGGGGGACTGTGTAGGAGAATCTCCTCATACATTTAGGTTAAGAAATATAGAGTAATTATCTTTTAGTAAGAAGCTACAAATAATCTAGGTTGGCCTGCTCCTGCAGCCCCACGACCCTGAGATTGTAAGCAAGGCTGTCTTGCAGGAGCCCGAACTATCTGTCTGTTGGAACATTTAATCTCTGCAAGGGTCAAGATGAGCCTAAACAAAGTGTCGTGGGGCAGACATGTCATCATGAGGGGCCCTCTGGAGAATTCACACACACACACACACACACACACACACACACACACACACACACACACACACACACACACACACACACACACACACACACCTGTGAGCATAAAAAGGAGTAGAAGAAAAGCTAGGGAGGCTTCCTTCGGTCTTGGTCGAGACTCTGTTTGTCATCTGTACTGATTTCTACATCTGTACAATAAAAGACGCTCAGGCTGTTCTTCAGATCTCATCCTGTCTCCTGTGCATTGTTTATGCTGGATTTTCCACAACACATCCCAGCTCCCCTTTGAGATCATCAATTTCCTTCATTTGTGCCCGTATTTGTGCTTGGGCCCTCTCCATGGCTTCGTCCTGTCTCTTAATTTGGACAGACATCACACTAGCCAAGCGTGCTAAAGCTCTGGGGATGTCTTTTTCTTTAGGTGGGTCCAGTGCAACCCAATCGATCACCTTAGCCAGCACATTTTCAAGCCCGCTGTTATCAGTGCGATTCATTTCGTCTACATAGCCTGGGAGCAGCGGCTGAGTCAGAATTGTCAGCGTATGCCTTAGCTCCTCATTGAATCGTTGCCAACCTGCCTCCTGACGTTCTGCCATGTTGCTTCAAGTTTAGTAAGGTTGGTAGGTTAATGAGTTTATCAAAATAGCAGGGCCTATAAAGCAATTTGAGAAAAGTTTTGAATTTGGGACCAGAAGATAAGCAAAGTCTGGTTCACGATAAAATAGCTGGATGTTTATTTCCGGGATGAAATAAACAAAGGAAGCTAAAATAGAATTTGGATTTAACTGAAAAAGGAATTACGTACAAAAATCAAACCTAATCACAGCCAGATCTCATAGACCAAACAGGATTTGGTCAAATACAATTTACATAAAGGAATACAGGGAAACCTCTAAAGTAAATAGCGGATTGTCAGCTAAGTGTGGAATGAAGGTAAAAGCTGAAGGTAATCAGGATCAACAATGCAGTTGTAGATGCAATTAAATCTTTCAACGTCTTCACAAGGTAATCAAAGTAAAACTGTCCAAATTCAATTGACCTAAAAGGGATAAAACAAAAATTCTGATCATAGATTAATTAGGGAATTATTGAATCAATTGATTAATGTTACATGAATGAATGAATTAATTATTGCCCTAAGTCTGTGATCACCTTTAAGTGTTCTATAAAGGGTCAAAGAAAGATGGAGGCAAGGAACAATGATTACAGGATGACAAAGATTTGATTCAGCTATTCTACTTGATAAGGCAGGTGATCTATCTGTATAAAGTAAAAATAAAAGTTGTTTATCATGTAAATCAACGTTTTATTTGTAATACAGAAAATGAAACTCAATTAACCAACTCAATCTGACTATGGGCTCTATTTTCGTTCGCGCCGGTGAGGCGGCGGAGGGCGGCGAGCCCCGCGCAGTTGTATTTTCGTCTGGCGGAGCCCGGCGTAAGGCGAGTTTGGTATTTTCGTGGACTGAGTCGCACGGAGGCGAGCCGAGATCCGCCAAGCTGGGCGTGGTGGCGTGGCAGGGGGAGGTGTTGACAGAATCAGCTGGCGCAGTGACATTTTCTTGCTCGCCACCGGCGTGTAACGTGCGCTGAAAGCTCGCCGATTCAAACCTGGTCAGCTTTCAGCGCAAGGCGGAACGCAGCTGGTCTAGTAGTATTTTGGTAGACCGGCGGCGTATCGACATACGTCACTGATGCCTCACCGGCAGGTTTCCACAGTGTCAGGCAGATTTCAGTGCAATAAATAATCATCATCAACTATTAATCTGAGACCGCACATACATTTAGATCTATATAGATATATTCTGATCTATATCTGATCTGATGAGCGCGTTTGGCACGCGTTTGGGCACACAACCTGACCGAATCAATACAGCTGAAACTGCATCAAATTAAATTAAATATCTAGTAAATAAACACACATGATGAAGTTAACAAGATATGTAATTCGTCTCCCTCCTTTTCTTTCTTCCTCTTATTTCTCGCACAGCTCGACCTGGACACGTCTCCGTGTCCTCTGTCCGTCTTCCTGCTGCTGCTGCGGCTGAACAGATGATTTGTTTCAGTGCTCAGATGCGTTATCTACTTTAAGCCGACATACGGATATTATAATATTCAGTTTTGTGGGCCAAATTTATTTTATATTCCAACATCTATGAAAGAAAGAGCCAGGCCACGGAGCGCGATGCGTCATTTACGCACAGATGGTTCTGATTTTAATGCCATTTTTGGAGTTTATGTTGTGATCTGTGCACTCAACCCACCTTTGTCACGTGAGGTTTGAATATATGCAACTTTATGTGAGTGTCTTTATTTGTGGAAAAGGGTGTTTGTCTTGCCAGTGGGTCCAACATTACGCACACCAAATCCATCTGTGCTCAGATGAGAGAGTGTGGAGGACACTTGTTGAGGAGCTGCCCTCTGTCGCCATCGTGTGGCATAACTGTCTTCAGACATCTCTTGATCTCTTTGACTACTTCATGAAAATAGTAATACGCCTCGCCGGTGGCGGATTTAAAGGCAAGGAGAGGAGCTTATTTGATTGGTGAAAACAGGTCTCGGCTGTGTTAAACCGACTCCACGCCCTCTCTCCTCCCCGTCTATGACTTATGCTGCCGGGAGGAGCTGAGTTAGGGAGGGGGGATACTTACGCCGGGCTGCGCGGCTCACCAAAATACCAAAATGTGCTTGGGAATGCCTTGTCAGCGCGGCGGATCTGATTGACGCTGCGCTTGCGGCACGTCTCCGGCGAGGCACCAAAATAGAGCCCTATGTCTGCATGGCATCTGTTTGACAACAGGGAGGCGTGGCAGTCGTGCCTGTTCACGCACCGATCGACTAGTCTCTCTAACGGACACAAAAGGGTTAACACCTCACTGCGGCTGCGCAAGAAGTGGCAATGAAAAAGTTCACGCTGCCTCTCTAACAGCGGATTGCTTCACTATACTCCTCTCAGGAGTAACAAGAGTTACACAGACAGATCTTACAACAGCAGACAAAACTGCGGACTTAAATTCACGAAATGCAGCAATTTGTGAAAAGAACTGTGTCTGAAATCACTCTAACAAAACCTCTCACTGGAAACAGTGATCTCCCACGACAGGTAACTAATCTGCCAGGGGAATGAGGAATAACTGAATCCTTTACAGTCACTAGAACTTCGTAGCAGACTATACAGGGTTCGGGGACTCGGAACCACGGCTCGGAGCTTCGCGAACACTGGGTCCGGCCCAAGGCCTTCTAATACAAGCGTACGGCGATGCTGAAATCGTGCACTCAAAAGTTAACAATCTGGGTACGCGCATCGGCGGCACGCAGAGCAGAAAAACGCAGCCTTGCTGCAATCAAAACAATGATGCACGTGGTCTAGGCTCACACACAAACGTATGCAACAGCAAAATCACCGCTTTAATAAGAGCTCATATCATCAGAACATGAAACAGAAACACATCAAATGCCCAGTTCAGCAATTTCAAAAATGCATCAGAAATACATCAAGCAATCAATTCAGTAATTTCAGCAAGCATAGCATAGATCTTAAGGAGTCTAAGTTGGGAATGTTGGGTTTCTCACTAGTTTGGGAAGATAATCTTAAGGTTGTCTGTTAGTGTTTCCAGAAGTCGTTTGAAATGAGCCTCACACGGGGCATCAAATAATATGTAGCGATTTGAATTCAGAATAAATGTCCAAAATTAATCAAATTAAATAATGACATTTATGCACTCGTTGAAGGGGCACCAACCACCTTTCTGGTGGGAAAAGGACGAAACAAAGTTCGATTGAGTAATCAAACGTTGAACCAGTCTTAAACAGATTTAAATCAGTCTCTCATCTGAGGCCGGAATTCTCCATTCAGGGACTCTACTTTCTGGAAAGACCACTAAGAGACGACAACTTAAAATTAAACGGACAATTTATTAACAAGCTATATGATAACAAAACTTCAATAAATGATGATCAAATAATGAGAAAATCAAAGAACATCTAATGAATAAACGAAGGAATGGTTTGAACTGAACCTAAGACTGGAGGTTAATGATAGTGAGTGAATAAGAGAAAATTTAACCTACGTTAACAGAGTTACGAGGGTAAATTTTAAAAGGAATTTGGAGAACTAAACTATAACTAGGAAACTAAGCTACTGAACGCTTGACGGCATCACCCAGTTGATACAGCAGTTTCGAGGAGTTTGCCTACTTTGGATGTCGGTTCTCAGCGGAACTCTTGGAATGGATCAGCTGAAGTTCTGTGGCTACCGGACCAGATGCTGAAGGTTCGGCGGGGAGTTCTCTGCCGTGAATGGTCTCAGGCTTCAGGACCGTGTCAGCGCCGTTAGATACTTCAGTTCTCTTGGCCTCTCGGAACCAGGTGGCAAACGCAGCTCGGCAGATGATGCTGGTCGGTCCTCTGGGCGTTCAGGACTAGCTTTGTTGCAGATTAATTCGCGCCAATAACTTATGAAAACAATTTCGCTGGCCAGTCGATATTATCTTCAGGAGTCACTTTAACGAACTAAAATAAAATAAAAGGCTTAGACTGAGGTTCTCTATGTGCGCAGCTAATTACTGATGCTTTAAAGAAACTTGGATATGGTTTCATCCAAGTTTCTGTGCCAAGTCTGAGCTTAAGGCAAATAATAAAAACGTGGAGAAAATTGCAAAACGATGGACGAAGGCAAAAGAACAACTCAAACATGCAAAACGCAGAAGACAAGAAGCTGAAGACGAAAAAGACTAGAGAAAAAAAAAAGGTAAGGGCGGCAAAAGCTCAACTCTTTTAAGCAGTTCACGTGGGGCGTGAACCAAAAGGGGGGGGGGGGACTTATGCAATCGTTGTTCCCCAATGCAGCCCGTCGACTGGCAGCGAATTAACTTGATATTAAAAGCCAGCTAGATCTAATTTACTCACTCACTATGATTAAACTGTTAATAACATCACATACGATCACATTTCACTTCATTGTTTCTTATGAGCAGATGCATTAAAACATGACATTGAACAAAAGTGAACTTTTGATCAGCCGTTTTCTTGATAATAACAGAGGTTTAACGACTTTTTGAAAGTTAGAGAGGGACAGAAAACCCAATTATCTATTCGAACAGAAACACCATCCAGCATAAGAAACACATACGTGATGATTCTTGACAACAATATAACCTTGTCAATCAAGCTTCATAAATGATTAACATATATATTTGGGTGAGGTAGATAAAAACATAGTATTGAGACATTCAAAAACTCTTAACTTGAGTCTAAAAGAGTTTCCTGTTACTACTTCTAAAACTGTTAACCTATCTTGGGAATACCATTTACTAAGCTACGAAGTGTATAAAACAAAAGGAAGAAATGCACATAATTAAATTCACTGAATACACATTTGGTTCTGACCAAACCATATTCAGGCAACACCACTAGGAGGAGCTCTTGGTCCATGGAAAACCTGGAATAAATTTGTGAAGTTAACAGTCTGGCTTGTAGATATGCTAGAAACCTGGGGAAAAGATCATTTCATTGATGATGTGGTGTACAGATAGAAAATCCTGGTGAAGTGTCCATTAAACCTGAAGTTAAACCATTTTCAGTCATCCTCTTCC